TTTGTCTTTCTGTCCTTTTTTCTCTTTCTCTCTTTTTTCCTTCTTTTTTCTTTCTCTCTGTTTTTTCTCTCTTTTTTTTCTCTTTCTCTCTTTTTTCTCTTTTTCTCTTTTTCTCTTTTTCTTTTTTCTCTTTTCTCTTTTTTCTTTTTTTTTTTTTCTCTTTCTCTTTTTTTCTCTTTCTCTCTTTTTTTCTTCTCTTTCTCTTTTTTTCTCTCTTTCTTCTTTTTTCTCTCTTTTCTCTTTTTCTCTCTCTCTTTCTTTTTCTCTCTGTCTCTCTTTCTCTCTTTCTCTCTTTCTCTCTTTCTCTCTTTCTCTTCTCTCTCTTCTCTCTTTCTCTCTTTCTCTCTCTCTCTCTCTCTCTCTCTCTCTCTCTCTCTCTCTCTCTCTCTCTCTCTCTCTCTCTCTCTCTCTCTCTCTCTCTCTCTCTCTCTCTCTCTCTCTCTCTCTCTCTCTCTCTCTCTCTCTCCTCTCTCCTCCCCTCCCTCCCTCCCTTGCTCCTCAACTCACTCTCTGTTTAATTTCTAAAATGAATAAAAAAAATATACATATACTCCCAGTACCAACAGGTTCAATTAATCTTGCGGATCTCTCTCCAGGAAACTGTTATTTAATGATTGCATCCTGGTATCGGTTATATTGGCTACTGATTTATCACTTGATATCATGAATAATTTGCATGGTCATTCAGGCTCACTATTTTTTTTTCCAGCTTTGAAGAATTTTTGGAGCAGACAAAAAAATCAGAGTTTGAGCAGGATGGAGGCTGGCAGGGCCTGGACGAGCAGGAGGTATTTTCCCAGCAGGAGTACGAAGAATTTGAGCGGCGCAGGCAAGAGGAGATTAGGCAGCTAGTCGAGTCGGGCGTTGTGAGTACTCCACTGTTTGTAGCTTGATGTCAACTTTCTTGTTTCTTTTGTTTTTACCCTTTTTGACTTTTTAGGGTACGTTACTATCATATGTTTTTGTTAAAAGTTTAGTTTGTGTTTCATTGTGTTGCTGTAAGCAATTTTGAAAATGCACCTTCAAAAAAATGTCAATAAAGAGTTTGCTCTTCAAGCTAAAAGTTTTTATTTTAGGTATTCTGATTTATCCCTGTTGAGGTTATATTGGAAATATCTTGAACATATAAGGCAGAAGAAGATTTTTGTTATAGATGTTGTGACTGCCTCCAAAGCAGAGATCTATGGCCAGTGAAAGTTGTAGAATATGAGAAAGCAGAAAATAGTAAAGAAAGGGAAGTGATTACAAACATGCATGTGGACGCGTGTTACTTGCACGCATTCCAACCTTCTGTAATAATGTGATGATAATCATTTCATGTTCCAAATATTAAGTCAGAAAATGAAAATATGTTTTTATATTTACACAGGATAGTTATTAAGAATGTTTGGTATTTATGCATTTTTTACAGTGATTGTGAAAAATTATTGATGTAAGTAATTATTTATTTATTATGAAAGATGTTAATTTGCTTCATAAAAGTAGGAATCACAAGGGAAAGGAGGCTGAGAAAAATCCTATTTTTATAGATGATACAAGAAGCCAAAACAGCTTGGTAATGCGGTAGGTTTTGGTGCTCTTGAAGTACGCATATAGAATGTATCTTTTGGATTCACAAATGATTTTGAAGGTGCATATTTTGTACATTTAGCTTTTTGCTTTGTTGTTTGTGTTTTTCTTCTTATTTCCTTTTGTTTTAATGTAACTTTTTTGTGTGCTTTTGTTTTCATGCACTTAAAGATTTATGCTGATTAGTTCAGCATGTTTGCATGACACAGTGATTTGAGAGTGGTGTTTCTCCACCTTGTAGATCCCACCCCCCCCTGGCTACCATGGGATGCCTCCACCCCAGCCAGCTATGTACCAGGGTGGTCCACATCCAGGACTGCACCCTGCGGCACAGGGTATCCTGCCCCCGCAGGCTGTGCCACAGTATGGTGTACCTCCTCAGGTACACCCCAATGCTGTTCCTCCTCAGGTACACGCCAATGCTGTTCCTCATGGGTATCAGGCTGTCCCTCAAGGGTATCAGGCTGTCCCACAGGGGTATCAGGCTGTACCTCAGGGGTATCAAGCAGTTCCGCAAGGGCAGGTTCCTCCCCAACAGGTGCAATACATTCCTCATGGGGCACCTTACCAGGTTTGTTTTGAGTTCTCTTGTAGTCATTTTGCATGCAGGTCTGGCCCTAGAGTTTGGATTTACTTTAGAGTGCATTTTGTTTGCTCAGATGCTTCTTTTATTTTTATTACATGAATTAGTAACTGAAATGGTTTTCTGTGCATTGTAAATTTACTGTCACTTGTAATTATCAATTATGGGATGGATTTGACCTTGTTAATGTGTCTAGTGTTTATTGCAGTTCTGTTTTCAGAGTTGGATCATATTTGTGGGTTTATGATTTGCAAGTTTGTAGAGATGTTGGTAAAAAAAAAAAAAAGGACAACTGTTCTTGATACACCTTGAAAGTTTTTCATATATTTGCATGAGAACTATCAGCATGTATACATGCATTTGATATACTTTTTCTTTCTCATAGGCACCAGCTCAGCCACAAGCACAGCAACCAGTATTAAGTCAGCCTCAAGTGCAGCAGCCAGTGCAAGGTCAGCCTCAGGTACAGCAACCCATTCAGGGTCAGGCTCAAGTTCCAGCTCAACAACCCATACAAGGTCAACCCCAGGTGCAGCAACCCATGCAAGGTCAACCCCAAGCTCAGCAACAGATTCAAGGTCAACCTCAAGTTCAGCAACCCATTCAAGGTCAACCACAAGTTCAGCAGCCCATACAGGGTCAGCTTCAGGCACAGCAACCTGTTCAAGGCCAACCTCCAGCTCAGCAGCCCCTACAAGGCCAGCACCAGGAGCAGCAGCCGATCCAAGTTCAGGCACAAGGTCAGCAACCTCTCCAAGGCCAGCAGCCACAACCTGTTGCTGGTCAGCCACCCAATCATCAACCTATTCAGCCAGTAGCAGCTCATCCTGCTGCAGGACGATAAGCTCTTCCGATTGAGACAATACAGGCTTAAGGTTCTACCATACACAATTACTTGCGCAGAATTATACCTTTGGATAAATGGATGTGACCAACATTTTTATTAAATTAGTATCGAACTCAGAATGAAACTGGAACTGAATTGAAAGAAGTGGATGGTGTAAGCAGGATTAACATTGATATATGTTGTGTTATTCACTTTAATGATTTTGCATAAGGTGCCTAATATAAGAGAGAAGTCAATGGTCATGAACAAAGTGTGGCTGATCAAGTGTCTTCTTTAGATTTTACTTTGAGATTTTCCTTTAATGTTCATCTTTGAAGGAAATGTAAGATATGTTTCCTGGTGTATCTTTGTAGAGTTCTTGCTATATATTTGTTAATGGTTTAAACCTTCGAGGTCTGATCTTCTGTAATTTGTTTGTTTAAATCTTTACAGTCTGATCTTTAAGAATAGAGTTTAGTGAATTTAACCCATCAGCGACGGGTAAAAATTTTGTCAAGTTTATGTATGCACCGGCTTGTTGGCGCGCACTGTTAGTTTCCCCTGTTTGCGCCCGGCTCGATCGGTAGTTTGCGAGCGACATATAGCACCTAAAAGCTTTTATTTTGCTAAAATTTATAAAGATATTAAAATTTTGAAGGTTTACCTTCACTTTAGATGCCATTGCCTAAAATCTTTACCATAGAAATGAAGCCGCTACTACTGGAGAAAAACAACCTCCGTCCGACGAGCCAGTAGCGGGGAAATGGGCATGGCATGATGCCCCCGGCGTTTGGTCCACAACAGCCATGGCATGTACGTATGGACACCCGGCGCCAATGGGTTAAGAAGTACATGAATAAAATATTCACCAGTTAGTTCGGTGCTGTGAGATTATTTTTGAACCTCTGTTGCAGATATTTTAGTGATGTTTGTGATTCTGGTAATGATTCTATTTAGAATTTTTTAAAACAAAAAAGATATTCAGTTTATAGCTCAATTTCTTTTTTTCTGTCTTTCTTTTCTTCTGTATCTTGATAAACTTTTAAAGGCCACAAAATTAGGATTTGAATATATCCCAACTTTTTAGCATATTGGTACCACATTTTTTTTGGTGGAAAATCTGTGTATAGCATAGCACAATACACAAATACATATTCTTACACTCACACTCAGTCACACACAATCACACACTCACTCATATATACACTCTTAATCATACACACACACTCTCATACATACACTCATATTCACATTCAATCACACTCACACTCATATACATCCTCTCACACTTAAATGAGTCAGCAGCTATCAGCATTATGATTGGTTATGGCCCATTATTGTTTCCAATGAAATATGATAATGTTAAGTCTGTTTAATTGGCAAGTAGCTCTGAATTTGTTGTTGGAAAATTTAATTTGTATGGTTGTGGATTTTTTTCAGTTTGTTTCAAATGTACTATACTGTTAGATAATTATAAAGCTTCTATTTTATCTTCTTAAAAGATTTTTATCACAAATTTCAAAAGCAATTGTTCTAGCATTCTTTCCTTTTGATTTGAATCTCAAACTGTTATATAATGTGTTTTTTTATGCACAGGTACTCAAGGTTTGTTTGACAGAGCAAGTTTTCATTATTATGATTATGATTTTATGCATGTTTTATGGATGTGAGGAAATTAAGCATTTTCCTTGAACTGAACATGGTTGCTTGCTAAAAGGTGTCTGATTTTACAATACATTAAAAAAAGACATTTATGAAAGAAGACAAAGATTCAAAGGCATTAATAATGTTTTTTTTTTTTACTATGCAAAGTGCAATATCTTTTAAAATGGATGTGTGCATATTTTTTTTCTTAACTTAATTTTTGTTTGCCTGTGTTTTCCCATTTTAAGTTATGTGCTGACTATCCCATTTCTACCCAAAACTGATTAAAAAGTTTTTATTAAGGTAATGCTGATCAGCAAGGAATGTTGTGACTCAGTCCTTTTTTTATTGGTGGTTTGATAGTTTTGAGAGTGCAATTTTGAGGTTGTACTGTACTTGGAATGTAGAAATGTTTAGAATTGGAATGATCATCATTTATCATATCATTTTGAAGTTTCAGGATTATAAACCATTGATAGTTCGGCTTACAAAAGATGTTCTGTGTATGGTATAAATGTTTATATCGGGGATGTTTATAAGGTTAATACTGATGTGATATACGGAACAAATAAAAGCTCATTTTATAGCAACTTCGATTTAATAAACACTTTTTTATTGCATAGATATACTTTGAAGGACTTTACCATATTATAGTCATCATGCTAGGTTGTAATATATTTTACTTGAAGATGCTGATTCTCTACCTTTGCTGTCCAGCTACACACCAAAAGCAAATCTTTGGCAAACCAAGTCTTTACTTTATTAATAATGAGACACAAGTCTTTCTTCTAATAATATATAGATATGAAGGAACTGAATTATACATCTATACAGTATATATGCTCTTGAAAAAGTACCAACTATTGTGAATTGCCCAATAAGAAGACACTTGGGGAAACCTTAAGGTAGGTTGACTTTACATTCTCCCAATGTTTTAGTAATTTTAAAGTAAGAAATAGACACCTGTAACATATGCAACACTTTTGCTCTATAATGCATGATGATGTATGTTGCAGCACAAACCACTGCTTTAGGGTTTACCTAAAGTGAACTCTGATAATTTCTTTGTTTCCAGATTGGTGGTACTTGAGTCAGGTTTTTATGGTTGTAGTATTTTGGTTGGAACTGGGAGGATTTTGAATTTTTTACCAGGTCAACATTTTAAAATAAATCATGTTACCACATTCAAGGGGTTGGGTAGACAGGTGAGATCAGGTAGGAGAATCACTAACTCCTTAGGAACTAAGTGCTTGTGAATTCATCTATATCCAAGCAGTACTAATACAAGAAAACCATAGTAAACATTACATGTACCCAGTGGATTAACACTACCTGGCTGAATTGTTGTAGATGAGAGCAAAATGGGAGACTCAAATAAGTGTGTAGCATCTATAGTCTAGATGGTTTTCTACTGTTCCTAGATTGTGGTTTTAGCAAAATTAGCATTTATAATATTGCAATAAAGGTATTAAGAAGAGTTAATAAATCTATATTACAATATATGCAATTAATGCATTAATATAATCTTTTTTGCAATTACATGCTTAACTTTTTTGTATTTGTTATGGGAAACTTTTTATATTGGAGGTACTGATTCCCCTTAATGGAAGGTTAATCTTTTTCTCAGCTATCAAGGTAATGCCAGTCTCATGTAACCAATTGTAAACCAAAAAAATGCTGGTTGTCATTTTAATACATACAGTAATAGTTTTCGGTCAATGACTTTCACAACCAGAAAGAAACAAAATAGAATCATGATCACTCAGTCCATTTATTCATTAAAAGTAACTTACAATAATGCAGTTAGTGATACATGCCAATATGTGTTGCTATGTTTTTCCAGGTAAGTTAAAAAAAAAGTTGCATTGTTAAAGAGAATTCACTTTGTGTTCTCAAAATCAAACTTTATGTTGCTCACCAAACTAGCCTTTAGATTATGGACTTGATATTGTTAGAACATATTGGAAGGAGTGTGTCACTATCATCATGTACCGAAAAATTATGTAAACTGGCATTCTATTTTTTTAATACAGGTGATACTTCATTGGACATTAACTCTTTAAATCCCCTCCCCATCTTTAATCATTATCTTATCAAGAACTAAAATCATAGATCTCCAGATTTTGAGTAGTGATACAGAGTAACAACAACCAGGGTAATTTATTTATGTATTCTTCATGTTATAGGAGTGAACCTCTATGGTAAAATAATAAATGTTAGAGTTACATACTTCTTATGGACAATCAGTCAGATAGAGGACAAAGGTTCAGAGCCAGAAAGTGGAGGTATTGGTCTATAGTAATATCATTGTAATTTTTGTGTGTATTCTTTATTTAGTAAATGCCTGAATTATCAGTTTTGAGGATCGAGGATGATCTTACATGCAGCACCGTTAATGAGTTCATGAAATGCATGTTCAAATTGGCTCATAGGGAGGCGATGGGAAATCACAGGGGCTGCATCCACTAGACCATCAGCCAGGAGCCTCTCACATTCTTGCCAGGTGTGGAAGATCCTGAGGGGAAGAATATCAAAAGCTGATGGGAAAGTACACAGGCAGAGATATGGGAAACTGGTGAAAAACAACAACAAGAGTTGGGTGAAAAATTTGTGAAAGGGAAGCTGGCACAAGTCTCCTGCAGAGGGAAAACTGGAGGAGGGGGGAAATGAAAAATAATAAATAAATGGCATTGGCAGAAAGTATGGCAATTGTGAGGTTATGAAAGAGTTAAATTATGGAGGAACGACTTCTGTAGAAGAGTAAAGCTCATAAGCAAAAGGGCTTGACATAACTCACATAAATGCAGAAGAAAACAGTCAAGTTGTCTATATGAATGTAGAACAAAGGTAAAATCTACGAAATGAAATGATTAGAAAAAGTTGATAAGAAAGAGCGATACGGATAAAATATAAAGAAGATGCTGTGGAGGGATAAGCAACAGAGGAAAACTGAAACTGATGGTATGGTTTGTAAAAAATAAGGGAAAGGGTATTAAATCTAGATGGTAATGAGTAACAGAATAAGCGTCAAAGATGGTTAAAAGCTATCTTGTATCAGCATTCAGGAAGACTATTCTATACAGTATGTGAAATAAAAGTCAAAATGTTGATTATACCTTCGCCCATGAACAGTCTTGAGAGTCAATGATTTAAAGACGACATCTGTTAGAACATTCTCCACATGTAGAGGCCCCTTAGGTATACCTATCAGCACCATCTGTCCTCCCTGAAAAAAAAACATAAACGAGACATCATAAAAATAAAATGACAACAAATTTCAGAGGAATTAGTCCAATCTGTTGATAGCAATTGCTCACGCAGCAATTCAGCAATTTGTGAATTATGTATATATGTATTGTTGACGTGAGGAGAGCATGGGGTTTAGCCGGGATATTGCAGATATTGTAAAACAAACAATAATGAGGCCCAGGCAGTAAATAATAACACTCATCACTTTCCCTTTGCCCTAAATTTCCGTACTTTCAAAAGTAGTAGTTTAAATAAAGAAAAAATACATAAAAAGGCACAAAATCAGCAATTTCCAAGGGGGTTGCGAGACCATAGGAAACAGAAGGATTTTCTCAAATTATATGTGCTATTCTGTATTATATATGCTATTGAGAAGTTTGATGAAAACGTGACTTATTCATAATCAGTAAAAGAGACTAAGAACAAATTCTTAATCTCCTTAAAAATCTGTGAGGGAATTCTATCCATAAGGGACGTGGAGGGAAGGATAGACTCCTAGAAGAGGCGTGGCAGTAGAAAAAAAAGTTGAGAACCCCGTGCATATCGTCTCCCCGCCCTCACCCACACGCCCACTCAAAACACAAAGGGTTGCGTTATACCTTCCTTAGCCAAGAGAAAGACTGGTTGAGGAGCGTGGCGGCGCCGCTGGCCTCGACGATGCGGCCGACGCCATTGTTGTCGGTCAGGGACATGAGGGTCGACATGATGTCCTCCTGAAGGGAAAAAAGACGTTGTTGGTTGCTGGACTCTTTAAGGGTACTCTTTAGCTATTTTTTATTTCTTAAATGCATATGCTGATCACTATCGCCAAGCCTATTATATATATATATATATATATATATATATATATATATATATATATATATATATATATATATATATATAAACATTTATCTATCTATACGGTAGACTGCATTTCTAGACAGACTGATATGCATTTATTTGTGTATATATGCATTTCCGTATAATGGATGTTTTTTGGGTCGGGCCTCGAACAGCTTTAACAAACTGGCAACATATGGGGACTGTGAAATAGTAAATGTCGTAAGGAAATCTTGAACTCAGTTACATTCATGTCATTGGAGGTGTGACCAACGAGCATGCGCGAGCGCACACACACACACACACACACACACACACACACACACACACACACACACACACACACACACACACACACACACACACACACACACACACACACACACACAGAGGCAGGCAGAATGTCCTAGACCTGACCTGACCTTGGCACTATTGATGACGCGAGTGGCACCCATCTGCTTGGCCAGCTCGAGGCGCGCGGGCGAGACGTCCACGCCATACACTGCCCGGGCACCTGGGGGGGGGGGCACGCAGGTAAAAAGGTTAAGACGAAGCAATCGGCAATGATGTTATGCGTAGTGAAAAACAGAATAATAAGATACAAAGGAGAGATTACTAAACAATATATAAATATTTATACATATGTATATATGTTTAAGTGTGTGTGTGTTTGTGTGTATGTATATGTATATATTATATATATATATATATATATAATATATATATATATATATATATATATATATATATATATATATATATATATGTTGCTTGTGACTAGGTGCGTCCTCACTCGCGTGTATTCTCTCCCCACCTCCCTCCCCTCCCCCTCCCCCCGTCCCCCACCGGACTGACCGAGCGCCCTGGCCACGGCGACCGCGAAGAGGCCGACGGGGCCGCAGCCGAGCACCAGCACGTCCTCGCCCTTCACGTCGATGCTGTCAACGGCGTTGTGGGCAACTCCTGGCGGAAGAGGAAGTGGGAGAGGAAATCTTATACATCGTTCGAAAGGGAGGTGATATTTTTGAGGATTTTTTTTTTTTTTGGGGGGGGGGAGTGGCATTTTTATGGGCAGTCTTTTTAGGGATGTGATATTTTTAATGATGCTTTTTTGGATTTTGTATATTTTTAATGGCACTTTTTTGGGGGTTGTGTTTTTATGAAAACTTTTTTGGGTGTGTGTGGGGCATTTTTAAGGACACTTTTAGGTAAGTGTTATTTTGCAGGACAATTTTTCGGAATGTGACATTTCTAAGGACACTTTTTTTGGGATATGACTCTCTTTATGACACTTTTTTAGGGATGTG